AGCACAGGGTGGCAACAGCCCCTATCCACAGCAGGGGCACACAAGTGAGTTAACCATGCTTAATTTGGCCTACTTAAAATCTTTGTGCCTTTGCCTGGATGAGACACCCAAGTTTGGACTGAGGAGCCAAATATTTATTTTAAAACTCTGCTATTTTAAAACTGGGACAATAAGGAGTCTGACTTTCCGCTGACCCATATCAGTTCTGCAGAAAAGGATGTGGGGATTACAGTAGATGAGATGCTAGATATGAGTCAGTGCCCTTGTGTCCAAGAAGGCTAATGGCATTTTGGGCTGCATTAGTAGGAGAATTGCCAGCTGATGCCCTTTCTTCAGCATTGATGAGGCTGCAGCCGGAGTATTGCATCCAGTTTTGGGGGACCTCCCATTTCAGGACGGATGTGGACAAACTGGAGTCCAGCAAAGGGCAACAAACATGATTAGGAGTCTGGGGCACATGACTTATTAGGACAGGCTGAAGGAACTGAACTTATTTAGTCTAGAGAAAAGCGAGTGGGGATTTGTTAGCAGCTTTCAACTACCTGAAGGGAGGTTCCAAAGAGGATGGAGACAGGCTATTCCTGGTGGTGGCAGATGACAGAACAAAAGGCAGTGGTCTCAAGTTGCAGGGTGGGAGGTCTAAGTTAGATGATAGGAACATGTATTTCACTAGAATGATGAAGTGCTGGAATGGATTTGCCTAGGGAGGTGGTAGAATCTCCATCCTTAAGGTTTTTAAAGCCACGCTTAATTAGAAACCCTGGCTGGAATGATTTTAGTTGGGGTTGGTTCTCCTTTGAGCAGGGGGTTAAACTAAATAACCATTTTAGGTCTCTAGCAACCCTGCTTGTCTGCACTGTGGCTGTGAAATATCCCAGTTCTGAGGCAGTAGCCTCCTTCTACCACTTTGCCTCAGGGTAAACGATCCTAAGAAGTTGAGGGCCAGAAAGTGTGGTGTCCAAGGTGACTGAATGGGAGAACATAAAAACAGCTACACTGGGTCAGATCACAGGTCCATCTAGCCCAGTGTCCTGTCTTCCAACAGTGCCCAATGCCAGATGCCCCAGAGGGAGTGAACAGAACAGGGAATCATCATGTGATCCCTCTCCCGTCAGGGCTAGGGGCATCAATCCTACCCATCCTGGCTAATACCCATTGATAGACTTAGGGTTGACTCTATTTGGCTCTTATTTTGAACCCTATCAAAGTCCTGATCTTCACAGCCTTCTCTGGCAAGGAGTTCCACAGACTGACTTTGCGCTGTATGAAGAACTTCCTTTTGTTTGTTTTAAATCTGCTACCTATTAATTTCATTTGATGAACCCTAGTTCTTATGTTATGGGAACAAGTAAATAACTCTTCCTTATTAACTTTTCCCATACCAGTCATGGTTTTATAGACCTTTATCATATCCCCCCCTTACTCTCCACTTTTCTAAGATGTCAAGTATCAGAGGGGTAGCCGTGTTAGTCTGAATCTGCAAAAGCGGCGAGGAGTTCTATGGCACCTTATAGATTAACTGAAGTATTGGAGCATAAGCTTTTGTGGGCAAAGATCCACTTTGTTAGATGCATGCAGTGGAGATTTCCAGGGGCAGGTATAAATATGCAGGCCAGAATCAGGCTGGAGACGATGAGGTGGATCCAATCAGGGATGAGGCCACTTCTAGGGAAGACAGATGCATCGTGGGAGGCCCTGTGATGCATGTTGAGAGATGTGGGCCAGCTGGGGAGTACAGCCCACACAGGAAGTCAGGGCTGTTCCCCACTCTGGCACTCTGAGTGCAGAAGGAGGGGGCTTGCAAAGACTTTAAATCTACCTTGCCACTACAGGCACTGATTATAAAAACTTCCCCCAGAATCACAATATACAGATTTTGGAGGGTTGCTGCCACCATCAAGTGATTTTTTTTATCCCTAAAACCGAGGGTGAACACTTGAACCCACTCCCAGGGTTCCCCAAGCTCTTCTGCCAGAAGAGAGCTTGAGAAAAGAAAAGAGCAAAACAAGCTGCAGTCTCTAGTAGCTGACCCCTCAGTCTGAGACATGCAGATGCACACAGACAGACCTCCTGTACCTTCCAGGACACAAGAATCAAATCATCACCTTAAAGTGACTTTTATTACAAAACAAAAGATATACTTGCTAAAGCATACTTGGTTGCTAGATGTGACAGAGCAACTAAGGAAAACAAATTAAAAAACAGAGAATCTCTGGGAACAATGCTTAGATAGTAAAAGGGGAGGGGAGGCATAGACCCACACAGAGCAATTCAAACCAAACCACAAAATAAGGAGAAATATCCTGATGGTGACTAGATTCATTTTCCTTTTACTTACTTCTAATCTTTTCTTGGTTCAGTACACTTCCATGCCCCAAATTCCTTGGATGCATGGTAGTCCTGCCTGGGTTTAAATCATTCTCTCTTTCAACTCCTGGTTTTTGCTTCCACACAAAGAAAGCAGGCAAGGTACCTTATACAATTCAAATTCCAGCCCTCTATTTTGATTGGTTCTCCCGGTCCCCTTGCCAACACCCTTGATAGCTACATGAGTTTATCCCCTTAGTCACTGGGAGCTGGTCAGCACTTCTCCTATCCATTACACAGGAGAATGGCAACATGAGGACATAGATCCACAATAACCATGGGGTACACCAATGGCATATCCAAATCAAACTATTCTGGCACATATATATCATTTTGAGGGCATTTGACTTTTCAGTGAAAAAATGGACACTTTCCATGGAAATCAGGTATTTTTATGGAAAAAGTCAAAGCCCTAATATTCAGTCAATCACAATTTTTCATCAAAGTTATTTTGATGGAAAATTTTCAAGGAATCCTTCTGGGTTCATCACCTGTTATGGTGGGGCCAATAAATATCTACTTTCACAGGAATAGATCCTCCTGTTTGTAGCCTGAATGTTCTAGTTTGGGATTTGGCGTAATCCAGTGTTGTAAATTTTAAAATATACGGACATGAACAGTAGAGGTATGTCTAAACTACATGCCTTTTTCAAAAGAGGCTTTTTCGAAAGATACTTTCAAAAAAGAGCGTCTAGATTGCACTAAGTGGATCGAAAAAGCGATCCACTTTTTTTGAAAAAGAGAGTCCAGATTGTCTAGATGCTCTTTCGGAAAAACAGCACCTGGAACCACTTCTGCCAGGACATGGGGGCAGCCTTTACTTCCGGGTGCTGCTGCCTGCCCTTTGCAGAGATGCATGCTCAAAGGAATCCCTCTTGACAGCCGTTTCTCTGCTGCTGCTTCTGGCTTGCCTACCTCTGAGAGGGACAGCAAACTGCTGCAGTGCTCGCTCTGGTTGCCCTGCTTTCTGGGACACCACAGCAGTTTGCTTTTTGGTTGTTTTTTCTGCTTTTCATCCTTTTTTTTTATATGGAGCCTGAGCTGCCCTCTGGGCAGGCAATGGCCCCACGCTGTGATGCTTGAAGTTCTGCTGCATCTACATTTGACCATCATGATGTTTGTACGAGATCTGGATTCAGAACCCAGCCTTGAGCCCCTTGCTATGGCTGTACCACCACTGCCCTTTCCACCAAACTTATTCCTGGAGAGGCGAGTTTGGAGGCTGGACACCAGTTCAGACTGGTGGGACCATCTTGTTATGGAGCAGTGGGACTACCAGGCTTGGCTCCGAAACTTCCGGATGTGAAAGTCCACGTTCCAGGAGCTGTGTGCCTGGCTGGGCACATGATGCCCTCACCTTCTGCAACTCGTACCTTTACCACAGGCTGGGACATTCTTTCTGGAGCGAAACTTTGCATTTGAGGATGTACAGATGCCTATGTACATCGTGGCTGATGCAGCGTACCCCTTATGCCCTGGCTCATGAAACCGTTCACTGGATATCTGGATACGAGCAGGGAACTGTTTAACTCCCACCTCAACCGGGCTCGCTTGCAGGTAGAAGGAGCCTTCATGCATCTGAAGAGCAGGTTTAAATGCCTGCTCACTCGCCTGGACATGGGGGAATGCAACATCCCCGAGGTGGTTGCCGCCTGTTGTGTGCTACGCAACCTGGTGGGGAGGAAAGGGGAGGCCTTCCTCCAAGGGTGGGGAACATGGGATGATGTAGAAGGGAGGCAGTTTGAGCAGCCTTGGGCAGCTGCCATCTGCCAAGCCCACCAGTCAAGATTGAGTATTCAGGAGGCCTTGAGGCAGAGATTATCCCAATGACTTTCTGCAGGTGGGTTTGCTCTTTGCCCCGAGCGCCTTCTCCCACCCCAAACCCATCCCCACCCCACTTTGTAGACATACACACAGAAGAGAGACAGGTGTGGTTTACAAAATGCTTACAGTTTAATGCAAAGTTGTATGTTACAAACATTAACACTCTTTTTAATGAAAAATAAACTTCATATTACAAAATAAAGTGCTTCACTCACTCGTGGGAAGGGGGCTGTAAACATGGAAGGGGAGAGGGAGGCTCAGGGCTGAGGGTGCCGCCTGGACATATCTGCTACCTCGGGTACAGGGGCCTAGTCGGAGACGGCCGTGCATGTGGCCTGGGACAGTAGGAGGCTGGGCAGGAGGTGGGGTGCAGCTGGGGCTCAGGTGGCA